GTCCATCTTATAGGGGACAGAATGCGCCCTATTCTGAGTTCAGTGCTGAGTCCAGACTCGGGGCGCTTCACGGAGCACCTCTCGGCAGCCCTGCCTCTGACGCCCTCCTTTCCTCCCGCTGACCCACACGAGGCAGCTCCTCACCTGGGACCCAGAGAAGCAGCAGAGCTGAAGGCAGCCATGATGCGCCGTCCTGCTGGCTCATCTCTCCAGCACTGAGGTTCCCCACATCAGCATCTGGCTCCGGCTGGACCCGCGGCTTCAGTCTTATGTAAAGGGGAGGACCAAGTCCCCAAGCCTCCTACTTCTGCTTTTCAGTGAGCCAGCCTCTTCCTTGTTCAACTCCTTTCTTTGTTCCGTTCAGGGAACTGGTCGGAAAATGGAGGACGCTGAGGGAACAAAGTGGGCCAGCCGGCTGGCGAGGCTCCTGGAGCGCGTCCGGTCTTCTACTTAATCCCAGCTGAGTTGCAGGTTCTGTGTGTATTTTCAGTGAGAAAACACCCCTCTCCCCCCACAGCTCACAGACCTGCACCTGCCCCCAGTCACACCTCCAAAACCACAGCCACTCCTCCCCCACCCCTCCCATGACCTTCGGTGGCCCGGGCTAGCAGCCCCTGGGGAGGAGCAGGGGCCAGAGTCCTCCTCCCGCTCCGCATGGCACCCCCAGTGCGGCCGCTCTCTTTCCATGAGCCCCCAGCTCACCTGGGCCTAATGACTCCAGAGAACCTGAATGGCTCCTAGTTCAGGAAAGGTGTCCTGAACTTGGCCCAAAGTTCCCCAGACTGTGACCTTCCTTCCTGTGCAGTCCCCACGGGACCCTGCTCAGGGCTGGACACAGAGCGGGGACTCAGCGAGCCCTTTTGACCACAGGAGCACCTTCCCCAGGAGAATACGAGGGAATGGAGGAGACTTGCTGGTTCTTTTTCTGGAAGGTTCTAAGGATAGAGTTTGGTAGGCATTGGGAGAGTTTCCATAACAATGTAGTCATACATTAACCAACTCTGGTGAAGATCAAGACCAAGATCTTGAGCTGAAAGGAAAATGTAGATGAGACATCACATTTGGCAGTTCACTTGTCAGATACTTGTAAAGTTCCCCCAGAAATGTGTATTTTCTCATTCAACCACCAAAAGGCATGGCCATGGTCTTGAATGTCAATGTCAACTGGGAGATGCATCAGACTGAGAAGCAGGAGGCTGGGTTCTCATGCGACTTGTCCACTTATCACTGGCGTGATCTTGAACAAAACTCATGGCTCGCATAGAATGTCAATAATCATAGCTAATCGGTAGAAATAGATAATACAGTCATTATGAAAATACTCAAATGTGATGTAATAATATCCTTAAGCCACTTCCCCGCCCCAAGGGAATACATCTTTAATGAAAAGTAATAGGAAAATAGGATTCGATAGAAAGAAATATGCTTCAGAAAATCAACAGGGCCTGATTTTCCTTAGGAACACAGAGAAACACCTGAACTATGGTGAAGAGCGAAGGACCAGAGGAACTGATCCCCGCCCCACCCATCTTGATCCCCGCCCCACCCATCTTGATCCTCGCCCCACCCATCTTGCTCCCCGCAGCCTGACCACAAACTCCAAGGAAGAAGCAAAATGACAGAAAATTATCACTTGATGTCAGAAAATTAAGGAAGCGGCTCTTTCTCACTGCTCCCTACTAAGCATTATCAGACATGATGTAGGAGGGACAAACCCTGGGGCTCTCAGGCCTGAGCTCCCTTTCCTAGGCAGGACCCTGCAACCACAAGGCCTCTCGCTGAGTCGAGAGCCTCTTCCCAGCGTAGACGCATGGGCTCGGGGGCTGGTGGGGAGGGCGTTGGTGGTGCTGGGTGGGTGCCCTCCAGGCAGACTTGCAGCAGCAGCACTGAGTCCTGCCAACTGTAGGGGGCCCAGAAAAGACTTGGGGGTGACTGACTTATGGGACTTCTCAGCAGAACTCCCCTCTGCAAGGTGGCACAATCTCAGAGGCCTCCCTCTTCCCGTGACGGTCAGCTGTTCCCCATTCCCTCTGCCTCTTCATCCCCAAGCTCAAAGTCAGCTGGAGGTGGCCAAGGGGTTCACGTGTGGCCTAGAGACCAGGCTCCACCCCAGCAACAGAGCAGAAGTGGCCACATGAGTTGGCTGCAGTAGGAAGAAGAGTTTCATATTTGGATGAGCTGGTGCCGAGAGGGGGTGGGGAGGGGACGGAGAGCCACTGACCACCACCACACGCCAGGTGCTCTGGTCGTGGTTGAACGGACATAACGTGGGGTTTAAAAAATTAGCCAAACAGACCAATTGAATGGGAAACAGCAGAAACGGGGGACAGGGTACTTGGGGGCTTCCTAGTTTCCTTTCCCCAGGAGCCTGGGTGAGACCAGCATTGATGGCCCTGCCACTCTGCTGGACTCCTGGGAACTGCCCACATTGCACCCTCCTGCCCACCTCTGGGGAAGCTACCCTATGGTGGCCGGATCTGCTGAGGCAGCTTGAAAAACCCACATTCCAGTGCATCCACAGTCCGTGGCCAGAAACCAGGTTCCAGCAGAGGCCAGCGATCTGCACACCTAGAAGGCGGGAGGAGATCTGGCCTTGTGTGCTGGCCTTGAGCTGCATTCTAGCTGCTCGCTGCTTGTGCATCCTTGTCGGTCCGTTCCCCCTTCTGCAAAATGGGAATACTGAGCTCACCCTGCCCACTTCACGAGACGCTCACTCTGAGAACATGAATTGACTGACATGTCACTCACTTAAGCTGTGATTTACTGAACTCCCGCCATGTACATGTGTCAACCTCAAATACTTCACAATTCAGAGAGATGAGATAACTTACCCACAAATCACATTTCATACGTGTGTCTGTATTAAACCCCAAGCTTCCACCACCACGACATTGCTCTCTAAGGGGACGATTGCACCCCGCAGTGGAAGGCGCTCAATCTGCTGAGGAAGTTGGGCAATTGGGGCCATAGAACCTCAACTGATGGGCTTGCCAGGGAGCCCCCACTTCCTCACCCACCCACCACCTGCGCTTCTCGCTTCTTCCTCCTTCCTCGCCCAGGGGATGGCGCCCGCCCAAGGAATGCAAAACACAACTCCTGGGCCCTCGCCGCTGTCCTGGTGGCCGAGTGCGGTGAGCCAGCAAGCAGTCCAGTCCATTCAAAAACCTCCAGCACTTGGCTTCAGGAGGCACGCTTGCCCTTGAGCTTGAATACGTGTCTTTCTGACTTTCTGGGGATGATCCCAAATCCCCAGGCCTCAGCGAGGTCAGATGCTTCCTCCTCACCCATCCCCCACGCACAACTCTGCCATCATCTTGAGCCCACTGCCCCTCTGTCCCAGCACCAGGGCGATCTTCCCACAGACACTTCCAGAAGCCGGGAAAGTATGTGCGTCTCCAAGGGCTACTTGAGGCAAGCCGAGAGGCGGTCATGCTTTGTAAGAGGTGAGCGCTAACTAGACGCGGCCGCGTCTCCCTCCCTGCTCCAACGTGGCAGGTGAAGCCAGAGGTGTCGCTGGGCTTGCCTGAGTCTGCTGTGTTCTCGGACACGCGGAGAAGCCCCGCCTACTTCTGTTTTCCTAGTCTCCTAGAATACTACGGAATGAAGAGACTCTACAAGAGGGTCAATGAACATCAGGACGTTTAACAAAAATCAAGGTTTTTAACATGCAGCACACACACAGGACAGGAAATTGGACTCTTCTTTAGACAATTCCTATAAAAATAGGAATTCACATTGTGGGCTGGTAATAGGATCCAGGTAGAGCTGTGGGAAAGGTACCGTGTCTCTTTCCCGTAAACTCTGAGACTTTGAGGAGAAATCCACCTAATGGCAAGACGAAGTTTGAGGAAATGTTCCAAAACTGGGTTCTGACGACGGTCGTACGGCTCAAAATTCATTTTTTAAAATATCGAATTATACATTTAAAATGAATTAATTTCACAGTACTTAAGTTATACGTAAAAACTTTTAAAGCACATTTGAAGCCCATCGCGACTACGAGCCAGAAGACACCGCTCCCCATCCTACCCCACCCATCATCTCGACCCCACACGCCTTTCTCCCGGTGCTTCGACCCCTCTTCTGCTCCCCACTCCCCCCGGCCTCTCCTGGCATGAGCGAATGTTAGTACGTTGAAGAGCCGATTCCCCCTTCCTGCCAAGGGAGAGGAAGCAGGGAAGGCCATCAACAAACTAAGAACCAAAGTACGTAGTTAGGAAGCCCTGACGGAGGCCTGGGTGCCTCCACCTCTCGCTCGGCAGGAGGAACCAGTGCAGTGTCGTAGATGCTCCAGGCCAGTAGAGCTGAAGGCAAGGTCTACTTACTGCCTTGGCCTGGACTCCGGTGTTCTCAACTCACTCCTGCCCAGCTCCACTGTGCTCTGAATTCCAGCCCCTTCCATGCTCGAACTCCCAACTTCCTCCCTAGTTCCAGATGCCTGGTTCCACCTTGGCCCCATTCCAGCCCATCCCTGCTTGTCTGTCCCATCTCTGGTTGGCCCTAAGGGGACATATAGGAGCCCAAAGACTCCAAGTGGTGGGAAGGGAGTAAGGAGGGACTGGACAGTGGAGCCGGGGTGGACCAGATGGCCAGACCTAGCCCTGCAGCAGACGGGTCGTGAGGCAGTACTGAGAGTCCTAACATTTCCTGGTCCTAATTCCCAAGGTGGCCAGAGCCAAGGAGCACAAATCAGGCAGTGGGACCCAGCGGCCGAGAAGCCGTGGAGCTTGCATCTTATGGAGAAGCGGCTCTCTTGGAACCCAGGGACATTCAGCCAGAAGCAGCCCAACACCCTCCGTTGGTAGTTTCCAGAACTGCAGGCCTTCTCGGGCGGGAAGCATGCTCCCACCTCGGCAAGTCGGGAAGTGGAGAGGCTTCTGAACAAGTATCCAGTTGTGGCGCTGATCCTTCCAAGTTCCCCAGCCAGTAGGCCTGGAACAAGGGAAAGGAAAGGCGGCCTGGGGGCTTCAGAGAGGCCGGCCGGCTCTCTGTGGTGAAGGAGGAGCAGGTGGAAAATGGGGTACAAGTGATGGAGAAGGAAATAGGACAGCGCCCAGCCCTCAGACCAGGCGACCCAGGAGGGACGGGGGACACTGGAGCTCAGCTCTGGGGTCTCTTGGGCTCCTGATTCGAAGTCAATGAGACCCAGTGAGCGCTTGGCCAGCCAACTGGACCTCTACCCAGAGACCAGCCTAGAACTGCTCAGCTGCCCAGCTGCCG